GGAACCAGGGATTGAATTTAGGCCCTTGTGCTTGCCAGGCAAGTGCTTGTTCTACTGAGCTATCTCCCTGGCCCCCCCAGTGGTATCAGAAAGGAAAGCACTATTTTTTTTAAAAACCTTCCACTTTGGGCTGAGGTCTGATTTTGTGTAATTAACTTTTTTTTTTTTTTTTTTTTCTCAAACTGGGGATGGAACTCAGGACCTTGTACTTGCAAGACTGGCACTTATGGGGGCTTGCCCATTAGCTCAGTTGTTGTTTTGTTTTGTTTTTTTTGTGCTTTTTTTTTTTTTTTTTTTTCAGAACCGAGGATTGAACTCAGGCTCATGTGCTTGCCAGGCAGGTACTTAAGCAACTGAGATATATCTGAAGCTCCCCAAATCTGTGTTTATTTAATGGCTGACTTTTGTACACAATAGATTTGAGGGTTTTATTAAAGTAAATCTTTTTTTTTTTTTTTTTTTTTTTTGGTACAGGAGATTGAACTCAAGACCTTGCACTTGCCAGGCAGGCTCATATGCCACTGAGCTATCTCCTAGCCCCTAAAGTAAGACTTTCCCTTTAAAGATGTTAATGTCTAGGGCTGGGGAAAGAGCTCAACAGTATAAGTATCTGCCTGGCAAGCACAAGGTCCTGAGTGCAATCCCTAGTAGCTAAAAAAAAACCAAAAAAAGATGTTAACTTCTTTATTTCCTGGCCAGCCTCCCCTCTCACCCAAAGAAGAGGAGAGAGGGAAGAAGAGGAGGAGGTAGCAGAGGGAAAATAAACAGGAATTTCAGATCTGTGGTCTGAGAAGACAGACTTTTTAAAAAATCAAGGAAGTTGACCAAGATTTGAGGTAGGTCCTATAATTCTTATCATGGTATTAATGGCACGGACTTTGTTTAAGAACACTGTGGATCGGCTACAAGAGGCCAAGGGGTAAAGCAATTAGTGTATGAGCCATACTTTTGTCTTTTGCTCTATATTACTAATGATACTTATGGTTGATAAATGCATTAAGTACTTTAACTTGTGAAGCCCTGTACTTTCCATATATTAAAGGTGGCATTTTCCTGGCATTTCCTATTTGTCTGTCCTCCAGCGCAGCCTGGGGTATAACGAGGCTTCCAAAGATGCAGGCTGGAACCACATTGCAGGGCAGTAAGTCATTGGCCCTTAGTTTCCAACCGGCGTCCCTAGCACTAGCTGCCCCCGAGCCCACACTTTACCTGTGAACATGAGGGGTGTGATAGTAGCAAACGCAAAGACAACCATCCCCAGGATGTTGAAGGCCAGGCCAATCTCAGCCACCCAGGTGTCAGCCAGGCAATACTGCAGAAGCCGCAGGCACAGCAGGCTGGTGAGGTAGGGGAGGTGCTGGGCTGCAGAACCATAGCCGACCAGCTTGGAGTCCCAGCAGAGGGGCGTGCTCAGCTCATAGAGGGTCAGGATGTCCTGGGCCCCAAAGTGCACTGTGATCACGAGGAAGATGGCCAGTGAGTACAGGGCTATATGCTTCCTGGACTTCTCGGGGGCTGGATTCACATAGAGCTTGACGATGGATCGGTGGTGGTGGAGTGTGAAGAGCCGCGTGGACCTTGGCTCCTTCACAGTCTCCCCAAAGCACCATGCTGCGTAGAGACTCATGACTATCAACAAGGCCAAAGCCAGCCAGAAGGGGTTGGCATAACCCTGGGCCCGGAGCCAGTGGCCTCCCAGGAGGCTTGCCAGCATGCCGGCCACTCCAATACAGGCTTCTAGAAGGGCCATTCGGATGGTGCGGTTGTGGGTGGAGCTAACATCTGCCACGGAGGCAAAGCTAGCAGCTAGGAGGCCATTGAAGTCGCCAAGGAGGCCACAAAGGATGCGGCCCAGCACGAAGAAGCCAACGTGGAGCTGCAGCTGCACCACAAATATAGACACCACGGCCTGGAGCAGCAAGCCAAGCGACGTGAGCACCAGTACAGGGCGGCGGCCCACGCGGTCACTCCAGGCTCCCAGCAGGGTGGACGAGAAAAGATCCACCAGGAAGCCAGCCACGTTCATGTAGAGGGTCCAGTGGGAGGTGAGGGTCTCCACTTCCTGCGGGGACATGATTACCAGGGTGCAGCTCCTCAGTCTGGGTGCTATCTCTGCTGCAAACGGTACTGTCCTGGGAGCTGCATGGTTAGGACTTTCTTTGAAGCCCTAAATCTCAAGGATGCTCTCAATAAACGGACACTGGCAAGGGTGATGGGAAATGGACCTGGCCCTTTCCCCCAACCTTTTTCACTTCTTTTGTTAACTTTTATTAACCCGCGATGCCTGGCTTTCTCTAGGGCCACAGACCACCGCTTTCCTACAATCCGGCTGAGGTCCGGCCCCACCCGTGACGCAACTGGTTGGTCGCTTCTTAGCAGTTCCCTAACTTTTTGTAGGCCCCGCCCCTTGACGCCCCTCCCCCGCGCGCCAGCCCAGGGCCCGCCCCCTGCCGCGCGCGCTTAATGGCCAGGCGGGGTACCTGCTGGATGGGGTTCGCGGTATGGTTGCCACAGTCCCCCCGATCGCGTGTGCCATTGTATCCCAGGTCGGCGCTGAAGCGGTGCCACAAGTACTGCGTGGTGAGCGGGCCCTGCAGGACGAGGGCAAAGTTGGCGAGGAAGACGAGCGGCTCCACAGGGCCGCGGAACAGCACGGGCGCCTTGGGGAGGGCGCGGGCCTCGGTCGGGGGGCTCGCACGCCCCTCCATGAGCAGGCGCGGCCGGAGCGTGCCCGGCTGCTGTCGACCCGCGGCTGGAGGCCCGGGCCTGCGCTATCTGCGCCTGCGCCCCGAGGCCGGCCTCACTTTTTAAAGTCGGGCGGGGCGGGGCGTGGGGCCTCGGTCCCCCAGACTCACCCTGCCTGATCTTGGCTGGGTGTGACTCGGCTAGGAACCCTGTAAACCCTGCCTGACCCGCAAAATAACCTCACTTGTACCCTGCGCAAAGATCCCGCCCTGCAGCCCTCTGTGCTGGGATCAGAAGCACGCAATACAGCATTGCTGTTGCTCAGAAGCACGCAAAACAGCAACAGCAATGGCACAGGTTATCAATAATTAACATTTATTGAGCACCTACTGTTAAGGCAGGTGGACATCAGCGGTGCTGAGGGACATAGGGGTCCAAAATACTGTGCTTTGCCAGTTATAGTTACCTGAAAAATATACCTTGTTGGGTAATGCATTTATAATAAATATAATAAATCTCAGACCCAAAATGACCGCATGGTGCCCAATGACGTGTGTGTGTGTGTGTGTGTGTGTGTGTGTGTGTGTGTGTGTGGTACCGGGGATTGAACTCAGAACCCTGCGCTTGCTAGCTAGGCAGGCGCTTATTCTACTGAGCTATCTCGCCGGCACCAATTATGTTTTAAGGTTATGGACTGCGCACATTCACTGTGTACCTGGCCACCTGGTTATTTCCGAAGCAAGGCATACAGCACTGGGACGGGTGTGAGTGCCGTGCCCGAGGGCCCAGTGGTAT